AAAAAAAAAAAAAAAAAAAAGTAAAAAAGCATCAACCAACAGCCGCGCTCTTTGAGCTTTAATTCAACGAGCTTCGTAATTTCATTCACCATCAATTTCCTGAATGCCACGATATAAGTTCATGTATATATACTCCTCTCCGGCTTCTGACCTCGATTGTCGACGGCGTGGTGCGCGCGCGCGCACACAATTTTCTTTTCTTAATGACTTCAACGACGAGCGGAAAGTCGTATCGTGCCTTCCTCTTTAATCTAGATGCTTTAACGGCAATCCATTATTCGAACAACTAACAACCGGCCGGCGCATTAACCGGCGTGGCCGCCATTTTCGGGCGCGTGTATTGTTTGATGTAACGTTGCCGTGCCGGAGCTCGTAAAGACAGCCAATAAAATATGCCCGGTGGAGGAGCGGCGGGCGTTGTATTTGCGTATTTCATTGTTACTTTTCCATTTGACGTAAAGCGGCATTAACACATATTTATGCGTGACATGACCTATATCGTTCGATAGAAATTACATCCATCGCGCCACAGCGTGAATGATACGCGCCTCGAATGACTCAATACATCAAAATCTTGTTTATATTATCGTAATATTAATTGCATTACAAGCACGTGCACATAGCGCGAAAAAAATGTGAATAATGAAACGTGTTAAACGAGTTATCAACGAGCGGCGATGAATCAAGCTGAAGAGATGCTTTGCTCTCTTGCTCTTGAACTTGCTACTTATTTATAGGCCTCGATCTATCTTCTTGAATTTATAAGTCTCAATACTTTTTCCAATTTAGAACATATATTATAAAGTGCACGCCTATTTATAGATTAACTTATAATAATGTGCACAACCTTCAGACATAGATTTCCATACTGGAATATCATTATCCTCGCGATATGCTAATATTATGCCTTGCCGCTTGGGTATGTTTCATTAAATATATTTTCCCGCTCTGTCTCTGATCATAGAATTTCGTAGACGAGTTTATCGTAAAAGTTGCTTCTTAATTACAAACTATTACGCATAATGTATCATATCCGTCGTATAAAGTGCCATAATTATTTGCTCGTATAAATTTAATTAAAGTATCACCGATATCCTTCCTTAATCAATTATGCTAGACAGCGACTCGCGCGCGCGCGCGCGTCTTCACATATCTAATACAAAATTTATTGTCTGCGGCCGCCGGATAATCAATTTTATTTGTTTGGAGCAAGCTTTTGATCCCGAACGAAATATTCACACAATACATTTAATTGTTAACTACATAATGATACATGCAGATCGAGTGTGCTAAATAAAATTATACAATATTTATTTGTTATTCTGAAATTATTTTAAATTATCATCATCGCACTCTATCTATAAAGTTATTTTTTATCTCACTAATAAAACCACAAGATTATTTATTGATTATCGATTCTGCTACGATTTGCAAGCTGTGTTGCCTATTTAATCTTTACAGTTCTAATAAAATCTCTCTTAAAATATTCCAGATTTGAGAAGACGATTCGTTTCACGGGTTAAATATAAACCGTAAAGTAATTGTGCTAAGGCGATAATCACATCGAACGTTCACAGTACACGCGGAATACGAACCATTATCTCGGAAACGTAATTGCACTGCACTTACTTGCGCGCAACTTCTCCTTCCTCCGTCTCATTACAACGTCGCCATAACATCATCCGGTAATATCCACGATTTCGCAGCAGCAATGTAACGATGCACCGAGCGGCTAGTTGCCCCGAACGCTCGTCAGACCTTTTGCGTACATCTTATCGCCGGTTATCTTGAGAACTAAATACATCTAACGTTTCGCGCGATTTAATTCTTTATCTCAGATCACCGCGGCACAACAGACTAACGTTCCGCGATTCACTTGCCGGCGAAGATGCATCGCGGTGCGACGAGAGGAGCGACGAAGCGGTCCGACGATTGTCAGCTTCGTAATCCACCGGCGGCCACGCGCGGACGAAACGGTCGGAAATGCAGATAAGCCGAAGCGGCGGCAAGTCGACGTATCTCAGGCCGCTCGCGATGCGTCACGTCTATCGATTTGTGATTAAGCATTCGTACGCGAGCGATGGAGGGGATCGCGGAGGAACACACGGGGGTGTGTTTGTGTGTGCCTGTGTAGACGACGTCGGTGGCGAACGCGAGAGTGAAAGAGGGAATGTCGTCGCGTGGTGGGGTCATCGTTGTCCGTCCGGTCGGCACACGTCATCGTTGCCGCCGTCGCGTTCGTTCGTTCGGACGCGCGCGACGCGTCGCGACGCTAATTTCCTGTTTTTCGTGCCGCGCTAATAAAGGACTCTCTCTCTCTCTCACATTGTTTCCCCGCTAATCGATGGACTCGAGAGCCTCGAGCAGCCGAGCTTGAGTTTTTAACCGATCAATGGATGCAAATGGGTGTTTTGCTCCTGAAAAAAAAAAAACCCGTCGCTTTGACCTTTTCGCTGTCGCGCCTTTCCTTCTTTTCTCTTTTCGAGATTAATATTTCTAAAAATGTAATAATTGCTTTCCTGAACTTATATATCAAAGTTTTCCACAATCTGTTAATTGATACAAAAAACATTAGAGAATATTATTAGAGACGATTGAAAAGGAGAAACTAAATTTGTATCAACTTTTCAATATTCATAATAAGCGTCTGTAAATTATATTTACCTCGAGATTAAATGTAATCTAAAAATTTATTCTTCCGTGGAGGTATAATTCTGGAGCTTATTCTGTTTCTACAATGGATTCGTCATTTTGCTTTAATCGCCGGTTTAAATGGCTTTGTACTCTAAAGTGGAGGCGCGCGATATCTCCGCAGTGCGAAAACGAAAGCCCATTTATAAAACTCTAAAAGGATGCATCGGGCTGCATTAGGAAACTTTCCCCGAGTCTCGACTTTTGCGCGCTTCGCCCTGTCGACACTTGGTCCGCGAGTTTCAAGGTAACGCTGCTAGTGAAAACGCTATATCGCTTTTGTTTTCTTTTACGGCGTATCGCCGCTCAGCAGTGAGTCGGAACCGAGTGCGTTTCCGAGAGAAATCAGACCGACGACAATGAGTCGAATGATAACCGTGTTATTCGCGCTTTTCGAGACATC